AGGCTTACCGCAGTCTAAGTCGAGTAAGTCAAAAAGCGCAGTGCTGTGACAAGGTCTGGCCTAGTTCCTCCGCAAAGAGTCCCCCTCCCCACATTTTTGCCTCACTTGACTGTGTAATCATGACTGAAACCAATCAAAATCCTCCTAATCCAATTAATGCAGAAACAGAATGAACATTGAGTAGTTTGAAGAAATCAATAACGCTCTAGCACTAATGATCTAGAGCTTAATGCATCTGACTAGAGTCCAATTGAGTTCAGTTCGAATCCCGTTAAGCATAGCTAGTATCTTACGTAGTGGAAGTACCGACTGAGTGCAAAAATCAAATAACCAACGACCCTAATTCCCCTGGCGCCCTGACCCTCTGGCAACAAGCGAGGAAGTCTTTATCACTAATTGCTCAGGGTAGAGCTAACTTTTCAAATGACTATAATTTCTGGATGCGGTTTTTTCCATGGTGCCTGTGTGCCTAAGCTAGGGAAAATCATAAGTGGAAGTGGTCTGCGGAAACGATTCCCTGGGAGAAAATCCACTTTTTTTCCGGGAAAACGAGGAATTAACGGTAAAATGGATTGATTTTTGATATTTTTAATGTTTAGTTTTTAACTTCCACTATAGCCGAGCGAATAACTTTTAGCCCCACACGCCGGATGCCCGGGTTCAAATCCCGATCGGAGACAAAACATTTTCCACTTTATTTCTCAACTTGCCTAGTCAGCAGAATTAACTTTTCTGAATAGATTCATTTTTCAAATTCGGAAAGGTAGCTGGTCAAGTATATGTGGCGCACTTCTAAACTTAGTATACAGGTTTGAATCTCCATCTATGAGAAAAAAAGTTTTTGCTTTTTCATAATTACCAAGCATATGTTCAAATCAATTGGAAGTGAATCATTCATATCTCCTAAACTAAAAAAGATGAACACATGCAATTTTCCGTGGTAACATTCATTTGATCAGTTGTTACGATTAGGATTAAATTGGAGGCTTCTCAGTTTGATTGAAATAATATGAATATTTTCCATTTTTCCTCTCCTTTATTCAAATCAGATTAAATCCTTTCAATATAAATCTCTCCTCTTTTCTTGGGTACGAAAAAGTTCTATAAATAGAAAAGGTCGAAAAAAGTAAATCTATTATGAAACGGAAACATGCTAAGACAAAAAAATGTTAAATGAGCATTGGAAGATAATGTACCCAGCAGTAACAAAGACGAAAATCCCTTGTCAGAAACCCTTTAAGCCAACAAACATCAACAAGACTTACGACTTGAAAAGGATTTAAGTACACTTCACCCTCAAAACACAAACACTCAAAAAACTTTATTCCTTGTCAAACGAAACAATATGAGGCCCAAAAAAGGGAAAATAAAAAAGCCGAAAAAATTTAGAACTTAGAAGTTATTAAGTCCCCCTCGCCGTCAAAACACAGTCACGCACACACAAAATTGTTCGCTAGTCGAAAGACGCAATATCAGGCCAATAAGCCGATATAACATAGGCCGAAACCTATCAAGCTGAAAAAGGAGAAAAAAACAAAAAGCCGAAAAACGTGTGGTCATGAAAAACAATAACTGTAAATTCTATTAATATTTTCAGCATTTTGTGCGATACAGAGGATTATAAACACTAAAAACCACTAAGCTGTTAAAAAAACTTAAGAAAACAATTCTACAATATGGCAGCTAAGCTGACAAAACATAAGCAGGCATTACAAGCCCACACTTTGTTTTTTTCAATTGGCTATTTCACGTATAAAAAGCCCAGGCCCTGTCAGATGGGAACCACCCAGGACCTATGCCATTCCTGGCGCATTCGATGTCTCTAGACTTCGATGTCTCACGCACACACAAAATTGTTCGCTAGTCGAAAGACGCAATATCAGGCCAATAAGCCGATATAACATAGGCCGAAACCTATCAAGCTGAAAAAGGAGAAAAAAAACAAAAAGCCGAAAAACGTGTGGTCATGAAAAACAATAACTGTAAATTCTATTAATATTTTCAGCATTTTGTGCGATACAGAGGATTATAAACACTAAAAACCACTAAGCTGTTAAAAAAACTTAAGAAAACAATTCTACAATATGGCAGCTAAGCTGACAAAACATAAGCAGGCATTACAAGCCCACACTTTGTTTTTTTCAATTGGCTATTTCACGTATAAAAAGCCCAGGCCCTGTCAGATGGGAACCACCCAGGACCTATGCCATTCCTGGCGCATTCGATGTCTCTAGACTTCGATGTCTCACGCACACACAAAATTGTTCGCTAGTCGAAAGACGCAATATCAGGCCAATAAGCCGATATAACATAGGCCGAAACCTATCAAGCTGAAAAAGGAGAAAAAAACAAAAAGCCGAAAAACGTGTGGTCATGAAAAACAATAACTGTAAATTCTATTAATATTTTCAGCATTTTGTGCGATACAGAGGATTATAAACACTAAAAACCACTAAGCTGTTAAAAAAACTTAAGAAAACAATTCTACAATATGGCAGCTAAGCTGACAAAACATAAGCAGGCATTACAAGCCCACACTTTGTTTTTTTCAATTGGCTATTTCACGTATAAAAAGCCCAGGCCCTGTCAGATGGGAACCACCCAGGACCTATGCCATTCCTGGCGCATTCGATGTCTCTAGACCAATGCGCAAATAATTTTGAATTTTGTGTCTTAGAGACGCAAATAAATTTGAATTCATTTTTGAACTGAACCTAAATTTACCATTTGGAGTTTTAACCAATCTGTGAACAAAGTTATTTACAGGAAAAGTCCAGTACCCGATTGCAATATCCTTGCTTATCGCAAGGGCAAAAAGCAGAAAACTTGAAAAAAAAATTAATAATTTAAATTTCCAAAAAATTCAGTGAGCCATTACTTTGGACCTAGTAACAAAATTTATTTATATATATTGAGAATTAAAAAAATCTATAGCTAGAAACAAAGTCCTAACCAATTGACGGAAAAAACAACAGCCAACCAGCCGAAAAAAAAGGACACCAATTTTCATTTTTTTTATCACTATCAGAATCGTTTGATGGGTATAAAACCAAAAACCTGAAATATATTTACACTGCGCAAAAATGAACACAAAGGATAAGCAGAGCTTTGCACCACTTCCGAAAAAACGCAAGCAAAGCATTAAGAACCAGCGAGTCAAGAATAAGATAGGAATCACAAAGCCGAAAAAAAAATATTCCAAAACTAAAACTTTTGACAAAAAGGAAAATTTAGTTTCAGAAACACCATCCAAAAACCACCTGCTTTAAATAATCTTTTAGTATGAGTTGAACACGCCAATAAAATATCAAACGAAACCATATAGGAAAAATTTGATCTAGTATCCGCGTTGTTCGACATTGTTTAAGTCAGAGAAAAACTCCATCTTAAGAAAACTAAGCCGACAAAAAAGGTTAGCTTCATGCAAACTAAAAAAAGTGGTCCGACCGGACCGCGAGACCCAGACCTTTGGGTGCAAAGGCAACCGAGCTATCTCCAGACCAAGTGAGAAGCATGCACTTTGTTAATGTTCAATCAAAAAGCAATTCTTTATAAATAGTAACTCTTTATAGATAGCAAATATTTTTTACATAGAATTGAGCCGCCAAAATTGGAACGCAACCTACAATTTTTTTAATCCGTTTTCATTCAAAAATTCATTGAAAAAAATAACTTCAATTTGACTGATTCAATTTGACAATAGACAATTTTTTTTAGTCCGCTGGGAACTCGATAAAACACTCTCGAATCATAAATTTGAAATGAAATTAAAAAAATAATCTAAAAAACTAAATGAACCCAATGACACTAAGATACTGACATGCTTTTGAAAAAAAATCAAATTTTGAATTTCAAAGAAAAACATTGCGTTCATTGACACTTTCGTAACTTTCTGTTAGCTAAGAAACAGAACTAAATTTTCTAGCTTTTTAAAAAATCGAAATTCAAACAAAAAAAGCCAACAAAAACACATTTGGAAAAGAGAAATGACTTGGCTAACAGAAAAAAAAACTGACTGAAAAATTTAAGCTTATCATCGGTGCTTTTTTGATAAAATGAGCCCAATTTGAGAAAACTGGATCAATAGGTAAAATTGTTATTTCATTCGAAAATCTCACAATTGAATTCCGTATAAAAAACTAGATCTCGATCATGTTTTCGGTAGCTTTTACTTTGTTGCTGTTCGATAGCGGAGTTTGCCTTCGTTTTAACAAAGAAAATGAGTTGAACTTCAAAAAAATCAAAGTCAACCGCAAAAAAAATCCAAATTGAGCGTGAAAAAAATTAAAACTTTTACCTAAAAAAACATGACCTATATAAGAGTACTCAATACGTTCAAAGCTCTTAGTAATTATGCCCTTAAAGCTATTCGAATTTCAAGAGCAATTTAAAATTGGTGGTTTTTGATAACACTACCCCAATTTGAGACAACTGAAATTCCACTGGGAATCTAAAAACCCAATTCCACCTTCGAACCTAGAAATCAATCAAGTTTTTTCGACAAATTTTAATTACATTCAATCGGCACTTAACTGTAGAAACTGATTTTTTTTAAACAACTTCGAATTTCCAAGTTAAAAAAAAAATGGCCTCAAAGCTCTTTAAACTTTCAGAAAAAAATGTGACCGATGCCCTCAATTACATTGACTCAATTTGAGAAAACGGGATCAATCGAGGTAAAACTTTTATTCCGCTAGGAAACCTGAACAAATAATCTGCTTTACAAATTTAAAATTGGTCACGTTTTGCCTGACCTTTACAATTTTGCTGTTCAATAGTGGACTTTGCTTTCACTTTCACAAAAGAAATGAACTGAACTTGAAAAGAAATCAAAAGTCAAAATACGAAAAATCAGAAAGACTTCCTGAAATACAAACAAAAAAATTGGGACCTATACAAGAGTCTTCTCTGTATGCATCAACTATTAAAATTGGGAAGCAAAATTAAACTGGCTTTCTATAAGTGGCTAATGGTAAAAAAGGATACTCAATCACCAAACATTCTACAAATTGACATTTAATTTCAGTTAAGCTGAACAGTTCGCAATACAAAACTAATCAAAAGTTTACCGGATGACCTTAAAATTATATATATTTATATATACTTCAGGTAATTGTCCAACAGACTGGTCCCATTAGCTGGGTATATGTACGCGCAATTTAGAGACAAGTAAAACGAACAAATCATGGCCTCTATTGCCAACTCAATTTTGATGCCAAACATATCAGTCACTAAGTGAGTCAAGTTTATTGTAAAAACTTCTGAATGCATCCGATTGGCCAATTTCTATTTGACTTAACGCTTGCAAAGTGTACGGTATTCAAGCTAAGGCAAATACCTCAGACTATTAACTGAGAATGCGCTCAAATTAAAAAAGAATTAGTACAAAAGTAGTTAGGGATTAGGGACCAGTCTTTTCGTCATTTACTCCCACTCTCTTTGGGATTACATCAGACAGATTCAGTTTGACTGACTGGAAGGGTGATGTGGGAACTGGTCGCTTGTGAGCGACTTCGTCCATTCGAGATAGAACTTCTAAATGACGACAGGCGTCTCAGATTTGAGCTGAAGGACACACCATGGCTGCTATGATCATGCACTCCTGGATTCGGATCAGCACCTGGTATGTTTGACTCTATAATGTTTGACACTTTGAAGCGGACGAAAGAGATAAGTTTATATATACAAATACACAAGGATAAGAACAAAAGAACATCTGCGATTCCCAGAACCTCTCTGAAATGAAACAGATGGTAGAAGAGCACTGATGCGACGAAGGATGAAATTCCAAATATGATACATAGAACCAGATAGATGAGCATCTTGCGCTGTCGGTATAATGGACCAATTGAGGACTGACGCCTGCAGTGAGGACATCGTCCGCTTCCCGCCTCGCGCAATATGTCCAGGACGAATGTCTCCGTACAGTGTCCACAAAGCAGTCGATGACCAGTAGTCGGCTCTCGTCCTGTCGGTGGTCTGTTTGCGTGTAGATTAATAATCTTTAACAGAAAAATTGGTCTTTTCGACAATTTCAATTCCCCCTTTTGGAAAAGAGAGAAGTTCGTAGAACACAAAGTTCAAATATGCTTAAACTTTGAAATATATCGTTATAGGAGGGACCATTCGTAACTAGGTACTATAGGTCGGATAGTTAAATAGATCTCATGGATAGTTAAATAAAACTAAGCCAACAGACAGTTAGAAAGGTGTTGATTCAATGATAGATTTTCCTGAAGAATTCCTAACTTCCGAATTTGCGACACAAAAATATATGCAGGAAAAACTTCCACATATTCTTCATTTTCTATAAGCTTGTTTGAGCATTTTAATTACAGACACGTCAACTTGAAAATATAATAAATACTTTTTTCAATGGTTTGTAAAAAAAACGATAATTCATAGATCTCCACTCATTAATTTCTTACAATTAAATGCAAATTGAAAAATCAAAATATAGCCGACACTTGAAAAAGAGTCAATGAACTTGAAATGACAAAAAAATTACTTGCTTTTTTTGAAAATATCTCAACTTTCGAAGAAAAAAATGGACGACATTAAAATTCTTTTTTTTTCACTTTTTTTTTATTGACACCTTTTTGACAAAATTGACCCAATTTGAGCTCATTGGATCAAAAGGTAAACTTTTTTGTTCAAAACTTACATAAGAGACTGAATTAAGTTCATCGACTCCTAAACCGCAAACAAAGCCGATAAAAATTATATCAAAAGCACTAGTTCTAAAAAAAAACTACATTTTTCTGACAAATATTTTACTTAAGCTAGTTGGCTGAAACCTAATAAGAAAAAAACACATCTGCCATATCTCCACAAAAAAAATCTGAAAACAAAATTATACACCGCTATTTCGTATATAGAAACATCGTACCCCGAATCATTCATTTCCTAATTTCGACTGCGCTTGCATAGCTCAGAGAATTTTCGCACATGAATATCAGTTACGAAAATTCCATTGAATTATCCCCTTTTTTAAAATTATTGAATATTAGGGACTTTGCTCGTTACTAAATATCTTCAACAAACTGCCTGAAAATAAATGATTGCTACCTTTTTGCACTCTGGTCGTGGACATGCTATTCGCATCGCGGATTGTTTGGCCACTAATAGACAATTGCACGGACACCTCACAAATTTCTTTCCAATCGGCGGGTCCTTGATGGGTGTTGCTTCTCCACAGTAAGGACATTTCACCACACTCTGATTAAGACGTCCTGTGACTTTGAAATTCTCAAGACACACTTTGCACATTGTGAATGAGTCGAATTGCACTGTTTCTTTAGTAAATTTAGGTGGGTTTTCAGCCGGAACTGCCTCGATCGAAGGCAGTCTATTTCTGAACTTAGATCCACGATGACTATCCCCATCGAGTAGATAAACATCGTCATCAAAATCGCCAGGTGATGGGCAATGTAAACCTTTAAGGTAAACCAAAGCTTATTTTAAAAATATAATCAAAGCTAATTCTACAATATCAAAGAAGCATTGAAGAACTTATTCGTTTAGACTGCACAAAAAATGTCAAAAGCAAAACTTGATTGAACTTAATTTTATTTTAAAATAATTAAGTACTTTTGATTTCTTGACATGTTGTCGTGGAAAGTCAGCTGTACGCTTATATATTACCTTTTGGATGATCAGACAATAAGAAATTCCTTGCTAATTGGTGCAACTTTACTTTCACTCTTTTGTTGACAATATATTATTAATTCATGGCTACTGAAAAGTTCGCTGCTTTTTTCTTCAAAATCATTGTGCAATCAGTAAAGGAACCTTCAAAAGAGCAAAACCATCACTTATACTCACCCAACGTAGCTATGTCACTGTTAATTCCTTCGTCCTCAAAGGAGTCGTCTTCTCCTATTTCATTCAGTAAGAAGGCATTGCAAGCTTCATCGTACTCTGGGGGAGGTTCGGGTGAAGCTGACGTCCGGGAGGTTTGTCGGGTTAGCTGATTTTCTGAGCCAACAAGCAGAGGCTCACATGGCCTCGGATCATCTTCGGCCTCCATTACACGACTCACGTCATTCTGAAAAAAATAACGCAATACTCTATATCCACAACGTTCTATAAGGTTTTAAAAAAGAAAAGACCAGGGACCATGAAAAGGTCTTTATGAAATAAAACGCTCCGATTGAAATTCTGCGCTCCTTCATTAGAACAAATTAGACGCAGAGGTGATGCTGAGCAACGGGCCACTTGCGATACAAACAGGTAAAAGATAAAAAAAAACAAGAAGTAGCAGATATTTCGAGGAAAAAATAAACTAGGAAAAAATTAAAAATGCTATTTTTTCATGAACAAGAATAAAAGAATGTTTTAATTGCTATACACAATACATTTAATTACTATGCACAATATCAGTTAATTTTAAATACAGTGTGAATAGTTACTCATACATTTGCTTGAAATGGTTTAATCATGAAATAAAATGGGATAAAAAATAACGACAATAAAATAATCAAAAAAATGGAAATTTCGAATTAAAAATTATATATGCACAGTCTTAAGTTTAAAAGCGCTATAAATTTCCAAATACACCAATGAAAACCGAATTCACGCCATGTCGTTGTATGCATACATATAGGATTAGATTGCATTTCGGTAGTTAAGAACTTTTCTAACTTTTTCTTGAAGTTTGATTAGGTAATGTCAAAATTTTGTAATTTGATAGGCAACGAATTTCCTTTTGTAGACGTCGGATAAAAAAAAACTTTAAGAAGAGAGGAATTTGATCAAATTTCGCCCGGAAGTACATATCGACGGAAAATAAAGCTAGGTTGTAAAACGACTAGCTTGCGTCTAAACACAGCTCTACATGCTTTTCACCGTCTCTGCCAAAGCCAGTTCTTTTGGTGGTCTTTCTTAGATCGGTCCGACAAAAAAAAACGTTACTGTTCCCGGCATCGATCAGAACGCTCTAATCAACTTAATTATATACAAAAAAGTGAGCTCATGGCTGGGTCTCAGTATCCCCAGACCACGAGGTCACTCCTAAAAACAGGGCTACTACTTATTTATTATATTACTACAGTAGATAAAGATTGTAACAGTCACCTACTTCGGTCACATATGAGACTTAAGAGAAATATGCCCTAAAACCATTGGCTCAAGAGTCAGGGAACTATCTCTCGTGTTTTTCGACCTCAAAACGGTCGGAGCCAATTCGGTTCGCTTGCGACATGAGACTAAAAACCTGTGACATTCGACCAGAATGGACCAAAATGCAGATTCAGCATATTCGAGTTTTTAACAGCGAACCTTCCGAATTGGCGATTTTGAAGGAATAAGAGCGTTATTGGAACGATTGGCCAAACGGTGAAGGCTAGAATTTCCTGGTGTTTCAAATTTTTAAAATTTCGAAGTATGAAGTCATATTTCTGAGAAACGTCAGAAACGGCCATTTTGGCAGAAACCTGGAAGAAAAACACAACAAGATTAGTTGCGATAATGAAAACAACAAAGATTGTAGTTGAAAAACAACAACGAATTGCAGAATTAGCAGAGACCGCTCCGAGTTGCAACTATTGTGTCGCTACAATAGTTGCAAGGCCGTTGCGAACAACGGTGAAGGGTCGAAAACCAGCCTTCCACAATAAGAGCCCTATTTCCCCGGATTCAGGAATCCGGAGGGGTCTCGGGGCTGGAACTTTTATTACGTCATATAAACTTTTAGCTTCCCTATTATGTCCTGAGTTGAATTTAATTAACATCTGATTTCATTTTGCTAGGACGAGAAGCTAGGAGTTGGGGGAAAGGGTTGATCCATCTTCGATGGAGATGATGATTTTTAATTACTGAACAAAAACAATAGTAATTCAATAAATTGTAGTAGCCTTGTTTTTAGGAGTGACCTCGTGGTCTGGGGATACTGAGACTCAGCCATGAGCTCACTATCTCTGCATGTAATCTAGTTAATTTGAGTGTTTTGACCGAAGTCGAAAGCAGTAACGTTTTTGTCGACCCGATGTTAGAAAGACCACCGAAAGTACTGGCTTGGTAGAGACGGTTAAAAGCATGTAAAGCTCTGTTTAGACGTTGGCCAGTCGTCTTAGGACACAGTTTTATTTTCCGTCGATATGTATCTTCCGGGCGAATGTTACATAGATGTTTTTATGGCGCTCCTGGGTGTTATTTTTTTAAACATCATGACCGGCAGAACCGTTAACGAGCACTCCGCGCCGAGCGGATGCTCACATTAATGCCCTTAATAAGCCTAAACCGCCGGGGCGGAAGGGTAGTTCGGAACGCGGAAGCCTTCCGGATTACCGTGAATAGCTTTTTAACCTAGCTAAGACCGCAAATTCACGAATCAGGAAGGGTGGGGGGATCGGCCATCCCCTCGTTCTCTTAGAGGTTTGTGACCAAAAACACTTAAGGATATATATAAAATCAAACAAAATGTAGTATAGTACCCAAGAAAAACAAAAAAAAACATAAAAAATAACCGAAAAAACCAAAAACAGTTAAAAAAGTTAAAAAAATCAGTAGAAACCTAAAATACTTAAAAATATACAGGAAACCAAATAAAAAATAGTATAGTACCTAAGAAAATTGTTTTTAAAAAATAACCGAAAAAACCAAAAACAGTAAAAAGTATAAAATTAGTAGAGATCATCACCCCAGACAAGATGTGATCCGACCCTCCCGTTTCTTATTGATAGATATATTGTTGTTACAGGCATTTATATTAGTCAGGATTGTTACGATCAATTCTGTAGCCCGTTTGTGAGATTTGTACTGTAGGGTTATTTGAGCATTTAAGCACGTTAATGATAAATTGCGCTCAATCCGGAAGGGTCAGCTGATTTGCGCTCAATTCGGAAGGGTCTTGGGAGAAGACTGATCCGGCAAGCAGTACAAGGAGCAACAAGAAGGGGCTCAACGACAACAACAACCGACTGTTGGGTATCGTTAACAAATTTTGTATCCCTTTTGGTACAAAAATTAAGATAGTAATCTGTGAGGGGCTCGACAGTGCTGCACTGTAGTGACCCTTCACCGAACTGCGAATATCCGAATTAAGCACCTTAATTCGGATATTAAACAAACCCGGAGGGGTATATTATAACTAATATTATTAATTGTATAGCCTATATTAATACTCCTATATCGTTTTTCAGTGAAAAACACAGAAAGCAGACCGGTTTTTAGGGTCAAAATAGCGATATTTTGATTCCGCCACAAATCGCGATTTTTGAGATATCGATATTTTTTGAAACGGAAAAAGCGCTAAATCAGTGTAATACATCGTAACTGCACTACTAGAATAGATAGAACCGGTTAAGTTTAGTTCGGAAGTGGTTGGAACTGTTTTGAAACAAAAAACCGAATTTTCGTGATTTTTGAGAAAACGTAACACTATAAATTCAGAAAATTTTTTGAAATTTTTGAGTTAGGACGGTAAAATTAGTTGTTCGGACAACGTCCACTAGTGAATCTACAAGTTTTAATACCCGCTACCCGAAAGCCTACCGGGTTGCAGAGAAATCGAACTTAACGTGTTTGATTTGGTGGATTCATCAATCCGGAGGGGTACAGATAGCATAGTTTTTCGCAAATTTTTTCAACTAAAGCGTTTTAGATCGGGTCTTTTGCATTGAACTAGAAAAGTGTAGGCCTTTTGAGCTCGGATCAATAATTTTTAGGTCGAAAAGAACAGAATTGCGGAAAAAGTTAGGCGGAACCTATAAGAGACAAATTTTTTGACTTTAGAAAAAAGACGTTTTGGTTAATAACTTTGGAGCTACTGGGCATATCCAATTGATCTTAGTACCAATAGATCAGAAATTAGCTAAGCTTATTGATAGGGACAAAAGTTTTTCGAAAAAATAAGCGTGAAAAGTTTTTAAGATTGTTTTTAGCAAATTCACCAATTTGGGAGGGTAGACCCTTCACGTTTTATAAATTTTTTTAGAAAAGCCCTTACATCCCTACCATAAGGTAACAGCGGTTGAATAAAGTAACTTTAGGCTGTTCTAGACGAAAAGGGAAGGCTAAAGGCACAGGAAAACCTTAACCGAGCCGAAGTTAGGCTAGCGATAAGACCCTTCACCGTTAGCGTGAATTGTCAAATAAGAGGCTTAACTTCAATCCGGAAGGGTCTAGGATAGCATTACATACCCTTCCTAGTTAATTGAAAAAGCAAAATAGCATCGGAGAACGTATCCGGAGGGGTATAGGTTGAACGAAGGAAATCTCCGAAAAGCTACTTTTACAAAACCAGAGGGCTCCCAATCCGGAGGGGTCAAAAAATTTTTCAAATTTCGGAGGGGTCCGAATCCGGAGGGGTCTTATATTTGCTAACTCAGAGGGGTCCCAATCCGGAGGGGTCTTATATTTGCTAACTCAGAGGGGTTCCAATCCGGAGGGGTCTAAATTTGCCAATCCGGAGGGGTCTCAATTTTGCCAGTTCGAAAGGGTCCTGTTTTTTGCCAATCCGGAGGGGTATTGTTTTATTAAAGGACTTAGGTAAACAGAAGAAAGACTACAGTGAGAGGTATTAGGTTATTAGCAGACAGGCTAGGAATTAGTGACTGCACTGGTTACTTGCCTTTCAATAAAAACCAGACCAACACAAAACAGGTCCGAACTCGGATTTTAGCTACACTAAGTCTAAACTAGAAAGAGCGTAATTCATTGGTGTAGGTTGAAACCCAATACGCTTTTGTGAAAAGTGACTGCCCTGAGGATTTTAGTAGGTCTAGCTCGGGCAGTCCGAAGGCAGGTAGGTAACACAGTACTCGGTGGGTGCAATAGACGCCCACTTGAGGAAATTACTGCCTTCAAAGTTTTGTCTGTTTGGTGCAGCACCGAGCAGGGAAAGCTTTTTCTTTAAAAAACGAGTTCGACTATTGTACTACGACCGACTAAAAGTACAAAACACATACGTTTTTTTTATAAAGATATTCATATTCTGTCTTTATATCATATTTTTTTGTTTCAGATTTTAAATCAACATAAATTGTGCTTGATTGGGTAGTGCGTACACTATCTTTTAAATTGACTGATAACACCATATTGTG